CCCGCCCTCCACCCGGGGCGCACACGGGCAAATCCGGCTGGGGATGCCGGGGCTCGGAGCGGAGGGGATGGGGACGGTACCGGTACCGTGGCGGGTCCCCCGGGGCGGGCCCGAGGGGGCTGAGCCCGTACAAACTGCTGCCAGCCGCACACCGGTTTGTAAGTCTTTTTTTTTTTAATAAAACAATCGGAGTCTGTATCAAAAATTTAGTAAAAAATTAGATTTGAGAGTTCACTGATTTTTGTTTTTTTTTAACTATTAACTATTCCTGGCGCGCTTTTTTCTTTTTTTTTTTCTTTTTATTTATTTTTTAATTTTTTTTTTAATCTTTTCCAACAGTGTCCAGGCTGGAGTGCCAGCGTGAGGCCAGCGAGGCCATTCCTACACAGTCCCAAGGAGCAGCCGGGACCGAGAACACACCCTACGCTCGTCAAAACACCCCATGGGGAGGGGGTTTTGCTTAAATTCGACCCTCCCAACCCTGGTGCTCGCTGGGAAGCAGAGAAGTCGTCGTGGCACAGGACTCAGCTCATCCTTCTGCGAGCGTTCCCCGGCACAGCGATGCAGCCCCTGCTCAGCCATGGGCACCTCAGGCCAGGCTGACCCAGCACATGACTATTTTATGATGCATGAGAAAGATAGGATTTCTTTGATTAAAAATAAAATAAAAATGATAAAATAATCAAACCCCAAACCAAGAAGCTGATCCACCCCGAGAGGAGGAGGAGGAGGAGGAGGATGGCTGGCCCCGCTGACCAGCCCATGGAGCTCGCCTGCAGCACAGCACTGCCCTCCCCCTCCCCAAAAACTACACATCCCAGTTTAGGTAAACAGCAGATTAAATGTAAAAACTTAAACCATCGACTTCAGAAAGTCCCTTGAATTTAATTATTTTTAGGCTACCTTTCATGTTACGTCCTGTAGCTAGACACACGTGAATAGAAAAAACAGTACAGTTAGTGTTAAAGGCAAACAGCGGAGACCCAGAGTGCTACCCCAGTGCTGCCTGCTCCTCCCGACCCGGCCCGACCCGTCCCGACCCCCCTCCCTGCCCACCGCCCCGGCCGAAGCCGCCGGGAAGGCATCTTTGAGCCGAGATTTTCGTTTTTCTATGAATAAAATAAAACCAAAGCTTGTTAGGCAAAAATAAAACAAGTGTCCCCCCAAGTCCCGCGAGCGCTCCGATGCGGCGGGGG